TATTCTTCTATCGTATGCCTGGTAGCTAACCATGATGGTGTGGCTATCTAAGAGGGACGGGCTAACGGTCATCTCCCTATTTAGGTCCCCGCTCGGTAGGCACGTTACAGCTGAAGGCACATTTTTCTGTACAAACTGGTTGTACAGAAAAGCCCACATGAGTTAAAATTCAGGGTTGACAAAACGAAGCAAAGGAATTTGCGATTGACAGTGACGAACAGCGTTAAAAAGGCAGCAGAAGGAAATTACCTTAATTACGACTAATCGCGGTCGTGGGCCGCTAATGTGATTAGTTGAAAGTGAGTCTGGAAGACTGATTTGTTCAAGTTCTGCCAATTCTTCCGCCTCCTCGTGAACTTCGTCGCGTTGATTTTGCTCATCACCTGGATAAGATCAAAGGGGCCAGGAAATGAACCTCGATGGTGCCCTCGGTACCCGCGATATCTCAACGCCACTCACGAACTACCAGGCTCAATGTAAATTCAAAATTGCAGTGAAACATTCGGCGATTGCAAATGCACATGCCCAATTCCAAACTAGATTAAATCCAACGAAATTTCGTGAAAATTAGACCTGTTTATGAATAATGAACGCATCGTTTATCATTATTGCCTCTCAAGGTTTTTAAAGCACTTTAAAAGACTCTGTAAATTCTTCTCAAAAGAACCAAAAGAACTATTTTTTTAAATTACTCCTTAGAATTGTTTTTTATCGATTCAGCGTAGTTTGCAGAGGATGAAAATGGCATAATCTGATGACGCAAGTTTAGAGGATTCCTCATTCTCAATCCCCAGTTATTCGTAGTGTCAGTTGAACGACTTTTGATCAAACACTGCCACGGTGAAAGATGCTGCCTATTCGATTTGCCCAATTTGGTTATTTTGATTGGATTTTGACATTGAGGTGGGTGATTTGCACACAGTACATCTCCGCTGTTATTGGTCGGCATTTTCATTCGATGCAGTTCAACGTTAGGTATAGATTTTGCTCTTTTGCTTCCAGGCTTACATCTGTTACCACTCGGTCCTTGAAAAGAGGCTGTAGGAACACACTTCGGTCTCTTCATTACTATCAAAACATGTGTAATCCTTATATAGAGTTGCGAAGTGTACCTAGGTTGTTCAAGAAATCTATTCAATGGTAACCCGTGGATTTTTACTCACGAAATCTCAAGGCCCGAAGGTCGCCTGGAGCAAAGTGTAGATCTTTGTTGTATTCATTAATTTTAATTCAACAAAACCGCTCTTTGACTGTCTTGAGAGCAAGAGGGTGATTAGAACAACGCTTTGAGAATTTTTTTGTAATTCTGACACACTCCTTTAATGACGAAAACGCAACATTTCATGTTCCTTTTCGAGTAATAACGCGACTCACAATTTACTTGAAACAAACATTTTAATGGTTAAGTTGACTCATGACGGCTTTAAGTGACCGCTCATACTTCTGTCATCTACTAAAAACAAGCACGAACTTGTGCTGTCACCCAGTAAGATCAGTCCTGTTACCTTAACTGTTGCAGTTATTCTCTCTCCTGCTTTAAGACAGGATGAATTACGATTCCGCACTCATACTCTCAAAGATTACTTAAACGAGTTACAATGAAATTAGACAGATTTTTGAGACTCAACACCAGATAGACATACCTACAAACTGCCATATGCTACAACATTTCCTCGTGTAAACATCAGTGGCCTATTAGATTTACTGTAACATCACAGCAAATCAGAGTGGTGTCGTGACTCTCGGTAGAAAATTGCCGGGCACTGCAGAACCTCTAAGCTTACATGTTAACAGTTTTAATTAAACAGATCATAGTCACGCCAGTCTCCCTTACACTTCCAACACTTGGTAGCAGATCGCACCCACGCACACACCGCGCCTGGTCCGCAGACAGAGTCGCTGAAATGCTATTCATGCCAAACAACCAACGTATTCAACGACCAACGTATCAGGATCATTCGGAAATGCGGGGTTTTAGCGCACTCCTCATGTCAACCAATGTCTACACCACCATTCTTTCACTATTTTTGGGTTTTTTTTGATTTGGTTATACAGCACAGCTTTTTTTTTTCAAATCTGCTAAGGCTATGTTAGTTGTGTCAGCAGCTATCTCTACACAAATAAGTCCAAATTGTACATCTACTTGAAGGGTAACATGCATTTTAGACGCAATATTTTCGTAACAATCGAATACCTTCATTCTAATTCCACACTATGCTTCTTCCACATTCCTTCGACATTGCTTTTAAGCAAATTTTGTGGAGAGTAGTTTTAGCATTGATTGGAATGCCTAGAGAAACACTTTCCTCGATTTTAAACGAGGAAACAGCGATACAAATTGCTTAAAAGTGTGGATAATGGTTGCTTGTATCAATATACAAAGAACAGGCTTTTCTTGTACTAGCGTGAAGTGTACGTAAACAAAACTTACTTAGAGTTGATGGACTGGAAAAATTTCCCTCTTCAATGAATTTGATGCCATTTTCCTTACTTTTTCTTAAGGATTTCGGGAAGTCGTCAGCTTCGACGAAATTGGCGTCCTGGTTATAATTGTCATCTCTTCCTTCGTCGTCAGTGCACTCTACGTAATTTCGTTTATGTTTGTGCAATTTTCGAGTGTAGAGGTTCACCAGCATCTGTAGATACGCCAATGCCATAATCGAGAGCGTAAATTGTGTTATTTTAAATACCTAAATAGGGGATTAGAGCAGGCATCAGTAGGTATCCTCCTCAGTACTCGCGGCAGTCGTTATTATGACACAATTCAAAGTAATATCATATCAGGTCCCGTCCAGGTGTCAAAATCATCACCTTCGTACCACTGCCTTCGGCGTGGCATAATTCATATTGCAATGAATCGTAAACTGTCACAATTGTGAGTAACGCTCATGTGTGCTTTAGTCGTGAGCCGTTTGATAAATGACTTTTAAGGTCAAGTGATTAGGTGCAGAGAAAAGCAAAGGACTGACCTCAAAGTAAAACTTGTGCTCCACGTGCCTCGGTGTTCCAAAAGCATTGATGATGGGAAGGACGAATGAAGCAACGCCTTCCACGATTGCAGAAAGAAGCAACAAGGAGGACATAATTGAACTCCTGTAAGTAGGGTGGCGAGAGATTAACAACTTTGCACTGAATTTCGTATTCTTCTGAGCCAACAAAACCACGTTGTGACCTTTTTATACTCGGACAATTCGCTCTCGCTTCTCATTTATCTTCTATACAGACTGGGTGCGTTGAGTAGCAAGACACATTTGTCATAGTTAGGGATTTTGCACTGCACTAGAAGGGAATTCCTGGACTGATCGTGGTACGCTGTCGGTAAACTTTTTTGACCATAGCAGAACGGATGTTCAGAGACAACGTTGCGAGATTTGAATCAATCCAATACCTAATCAGTACTATAAAACTCAATGAAAGAGTCTGAGTTGAAGTTCTGGCATTAATACTTGAGTTCACTCTTTGCGGAGTCATGAAACAGTCCAATTTAGAGAACAAGAACAGTCGTAAAACAGATCACATCTGACCTGGCAAAAAATTGGCTAGGTAACCTTGTAAAAAATCAAGCGTTCACTGACCTTTTGTCTTCTATTTCGAAGTCAGCAAAAGCAACACTTGGGTGGCTACAAAGTTAAGGAAGTTGCAGTCAGTTATTGGCATATTGGCTGGCACGCATCCCTTCAACGAGCCACGTTAGACTGACCATATGAAGTTGCCATAGGAGTCTGCAAGTGGGCTGATGCATGGCGTGAAATCTAGCACAACGTGACCTGAGGACGCTAATTGCTTCATTTAACCTGCGTAGTGACATGTTTCATCGTTCCAAGCATATACACTTGTACTTTCCGTTTTGATCTCAAAGCTGAACTATTGGTACAGCAGAGGAGTTAGTCTAAGGATGACTTGAAGCTTTCCAAAAAAATTAACGATGCATTTACTTGTGCTGGAATTGGGTATTTCAAGATACATTTGGTTAATAATTAGTAATTCACTTAAGTAACACACGCTAGTCGATTTTGTACGTGCATACCGCTGACCTGTAGAATTGTTTCTCAAGAAACTCAATTATTAAGTAGTTAATAAAAACTCGAGCCGCGTGTTTCATCCATTTTATGAGCAAACCAATCGGTTGGTTGAAGGACAATTGAGCCAACATCGACAAGGCTTGTTCGTGCTGCACTTTTTTACATTTTAGTCTAAGGTGTGAATGCAGCTAGAATCGTAATTGACTCCAAGCGTAAGCCAATTAATATTTCTTGGAACAGTTGATGTGAAGCACTCTCAACCCAACTATTTTGCGATCTGATCGTTCACTTGGGTATTAACCTTCCTGTAGCAAGAATAATAAATATTAGCTAATCAGCCTAAAGTGTGATTAGTTGAGAGCTGGACATCATCCGTTCAACCGTGGGCAAGATTCCTCCTTGCAAGGCGTAAAAAATGTTAGCCTGGTTACACAATCGTTATTTTGTAACCAGACTAAAGCCGGCTCAATGGACCTAAAAATAATTGCTAAAAAGTCCAAAATTATAATCTTATTTGATGAATGCTTTAAATGCGATTACTAAACTCCTGTTTTGTGGCCTGGCCATCTGTAATGTAATTAAAAACTCAAAAAAACGCTGTAACTAGGTACACAGGCTTTTGTTGTTTTAAATATCGCATAAGAGCCTTTTTGGTGTCAAACAAGAGGCCCTTTTAAAGGTAGAGAACACAGTCAGCCAAGTGTGTATGCCATATTTCCATAATAACAGACACCTACACTTACAATTAGTGAAGATCAATATAAAACACGATGGTCAGTACAAAGCACCAAGTGCAGCCACAAAAATGGCGTCATTTCAGGACACAACATTGGCACTTATTTGCAAATCTGTGTAGTCACCCGGCCTCGCACCCTTTGTTTTAGAACTTGAGAATGAAACACTGGTACGAATTTCCAACAAAAAAAGAACGCTTCACCGACTGCTATATTTAGTACCTAATGCGCAGAAAGTCTAATATATAACGACACCAAAACGCATTACTATCAAAATGTTACCTTTGGACAAAAATTCTGAAGACAATGCCTAACCAGCCATGGGCTTTAGATGGCAGCCACAATTTCCAAAATGGCAAGTTCAAGCCATCTTCCTAAATGGAGAAATGTGAAGTAATCCTGGAAGCATTACTTCACAATGTCAATTCTAGCGTGACGGCAGTAGTCTTCTTTTACTGGGGTTAGGCAGGGTTTCATTGGCTTAATTTGCTTGGTCCTGTTACCTACACGCGTGACATTTGACCCCTTTACAGGTCAAATATAACCAATTCAATGAAGATCAAAACAGGTTATTACAAGCATAGAATGTTCAATTATTCTCTAAGTTATTGTAGCATTTAAATTAGTTGCCTTGGAACTTTTTTCGACGTTGTTTTCGGATTTCGTTATTGTGCTCTGCTCCGATTTCCGACAACAAACAATTTATTATGCAAATTGTTCATTCGTGACCAAATTTTTACCATTGCTCTAGGCTTCGCCCCTAAACAGAATGTAGAACAATCGTTGTAGGGACATTAAATCGCGCCTTCATGTTTTGTAAGCAAATGCATTAAACTCCGTTTGAAATGTCATTTTTGCATTAGATAAGCACACGTACAACTCAAAATGTTACACTTTTATTAACTCCCTTTAACACGCCTGAGCTTCCGAGTGTTTACGTGGGTTGCATGCTTAGATCAAGAGTACGAATGCTACGTTTATAATTCTACCAAAATGTGAAGGTAGTTCCAATTTCTTCCGATTGCCAACACAAATGTCCTTCAGGAAACGCCTCTTGTAAGAAACGCAAACCACGGCTTTCATGGAAGGTAGATTAGCGATTGTGGCACTCCCGTGAGCCAAACGGGTGATTGGTGATGCCCTGTCGCATTATTTCCGCAGACAGACCACTAAATAAGCAAATCATTGCATTTGCATTGGGATGATCTCACTAGATATCCGCCTACGTGCGTGATCACGTATTTTTAGGGCATTGGCGGCTTCTTTATTACCCACGAGTAAATGTACAAAATGGCAGTGGCAAATTCACTGTTCCCTTATTAAACAGACATCAAAAAAGCAGGATGTGCACATAAGTACATATGATAAAGGTAGCCTAAGCTAAGCAAAGTGCTAAAGTTACTGAAGTACAAAGTGATCACGCTGTTAAAATGAGCAGCCTCATGACATCTCGATGCATGCACATGACAGCGATTAAAAAGCGTAAACTGGCATTTTATATTCCTGATGTCCGTTAAGGCTAATTGTTCAAGAGCACATGTCATTTAAATATTCATCGTGAGAAAAGCTAAAAAAGTTCCGACATTAAATAGTATGCTTTCACAATCGTTGCAGCAAATCATTGTTTTAAATTTGCCTGCAATTTTAGGGACAAATAAGTAATCTTTCTATTTGAAAAAAACAGGTTCGTGTAGTACTGGAGTCTAATTAGCATAAACTTCAACTAATCAATTTCACATATCTCATCTGTTTATTATTGTGCGATTCAAGGAAACAAAAATGCGTTTCGGGTATTTTATTTGCAAGATTTGTTTTATTCACTCAAATTGAGCTGCGCTTAATTTGAAAACAGGCGTGATTTACAAGTGACTTTTCGGCGAAAATTTGTAGACTTATTTTTTTAGGATAAAAACCTGTTGAAATTCAAAATCTCAAGCTTACTTTTGACAGTTCGAAGGTGAGTAAACCCACGACATATCGCACTTCCTGAAACGGACAGTGTGCCGACCGACGTGGAGTCATAAAATCCACCTTTTTCAACTTCGCCCACATTTTAAATTTCTATTACAAAATGGCTGGTCGAAAACCACTGTGTACGCATTCCTTGCGGAACACATTCAAACACACTCAGGCATTGCTATCGAGGTTAACTAACTAAAGAATTGCTAAAGATTTTACTGGAGCCATTAGGGATTCTGTTCACTCACATTGACAAAAACAAAGTTTAGTGATTGAAAACATTGGAAATCGCGAAATGAGGAAATGGAATTATTGTAACTTACCGCATCATCAGACATCGTGCATGCTTGCATTTTTGTGTGGGTGTAAAGAATCTTGCCCGAATCTTAACAATCAAGATTTCGGGTAGGTTTGTGAACAGATCACTCAGATAATCGCCCCACTTTGACACTCTGATTCATGTTCATTAAATATTTACATCGGATACTATGATTACAGCCTTCATTATTTCTGCGGGCACTACACGATTAAATTAATAATTTAGATCACGTAAAAATTGACCTTGGTTGAGAGAACACTGGAGTACCCAGACCGTTGTACAACTATTAAAAGAGTAAAAAGCTCTGACGTGATGTTGCCTATTCGCAAATGGACCGTACGTCTGAATTTCCAGTCCCAATAAATTAGAAATTAATCGCGTTTAATGTGACTGGCGCCTAATGCATTAGTTGTTCTGAAAATTGTTCAGATAACAAATCGTTTAAAGTGATGATGAGTGGTACTAAAATGGATTACAGCAAAGGAAGGCAATTTGCAAACAAAGGACATAAATATTTGCATTAAAAAGTGTGACATTCATTCAGTTAAAAGTTAGCCACCTTTTTCAAGGTACCTCTACAAAGTTGACTAGGAGTAAGCGCGTAACTTTGCAACCAAATAGCAGAAAGGAGCAGCCTCTTTCAGACCACAACATGAGTTAGGCGTTGGTTGTCAGTTTAAGCCTGAGGGCTAAAATTGTGGCGTTTCACTGGCAAAGGATCGGAAGCCAAACCAACAGAAGATCAGAAGTGACATACAATTCCCAATCAGAAGTCAATGTTAAAAGTAGAGGGAAGTCTTGAAGCAGTGACGCTAAAAGCTTCTGCCACTTCTCTTACCAAAATCAGGACGAAGAATTACATGGACTTAATATAAGCATAAATAGTACTGCTGGAATTAATATGAATACGTTTAAAACCTAACCCTACAACAACTTATTTGCCCAATAAAGTAAACAAATAATTTAGCCAGTAATTTTGGCACCCACGCAATGAAATGCACCTGCAAGTCACAAAAGCATGTACGTTTGTCTTAATCGTATTAATATCT